AAAGAGCTTGAGAGATGTTGGTTGGTGGCCCCATGGGCACCAAGCATGGACTCTCCTGTGTGCTCCCACAGCTGAGGGAATGGTGGCCAGGAGGTGGCCATGGCAGGAAGAGCCCAGGATGCTCCTCCAGGACTGGCACTGCACCCAGAGTCTTGCCTGATGCTTGGTTGGGCTGCCAGTCTCCTCCCTCAGCTCGTGGGCACCACCAGCCCAGGTGCTGTGCACAGGCTTTGACCTCTGTTCCAGGAGGTCCTCATAAATAGAGGTCTTGGAGGGAGTGTTTCATCCCCAAGTCTGACAACTTTTCCATGGTCTCTCCTTGCCCTGTATGGCACAGAGCCCTGGGGGGAGATGCCCAGAGAGCAGCTGGGCACCACATGAGGCACCAGCTATGTCTTTCCCTGTTGCAGGAGAGGAAAAGCCATGTCCTTACCCATGCAGTTCTTCATCATCATGAAGCCACTCTCGTAGCCCTCGAAGCACTCACACTCAAAGCTCCCTGGGGTGTTGACACAGGTGCCATGGCCACACAGGTCTGGGGAGATGCGACACTCGTCGATGTCTGTGGGGAGGAAGAGCAGGGAGTGGAGGCAGAACAGGCCACCAGCACCACCAGAGCCAGCACAGAGCTGTCTGCACTGCACAGCAAACTCAACAAGGACTGACAGACCCACCAACACAGACCAAGGAACATCTCATCCTCAAGGGAGGGTGAAGGGCTGAGCCTTCACCCAATGAGCAGGAGGAGCTTTATCACAGAATGATGGAATCACAGCCTGGTTTGGGTTGGAAGGACCTTAAAGTTCATCTCATTCCACCCCCTGCCTTGGGCAGGGACATCTTCCACCAGCCCAGGTTGCTCCAAGCCCTGTCCAACCTGGCTTTGAGCTTCTGTTCATGGTCCTGCCCTTGGTTCCTCACCATGTCCCTCAAAGTGCCACGATTCCTCTGGGTAGCACCACTATGCTGAGCATCCCCCAAGGCACCAAGATGTGCAAGAGTGGTCCAGAGGAGGTTCCTTACCTGTGCAGTTCCTCTCCTCAGCATCCAAAGCAAAGCCATTGCCACAGATAC